AAGATAGTGCCATGAAGAAACTACATGATAAAGGAAAGCAACATTCACAGTAGCTGCACTTACTACACATGTTATTTGAATCCTTGAGTTATAGTCAGGAGCACAACCACACATTCCTGTGGCCCAGCTTCTTTCTTTGTTTCTGTAATTAGTCTTCATTCTACACAGTTCACTGAAATTGTTCTATCCTCTGTATTTCCAGAAACATTCCCTCCATTCACGCTGGCATCAACTTCCAGTGCACTGTGGCCTTCTCATTATGTATCTCCATTCGTGCACAGGTCCTTCATGTTAACCTGCTATAGCACTGAGGATGGTCCTGTTATTTATGCATATACTGCACATATGACTATCAGCCCTCTTTAGATCATGGATGTCCAAGCACCTTAACTTTCCTAGAAATCTTTCATAATACAAATTTTTCCTCACTGTGTATATTGATCCCTCTCTCTGCCTGCAATTCCTCTGATTCTTCTCTTACAAATCACTATATCACCATAAAAACATGTTCTATTTATTTATTCATTCATTCATTCATTCATGTTCCCTTTTAAACCCTGTTTCTCTATGTACAGCATTTCATGCTCAGCATTTCTAGCCTCTGGCACATAACCTCACTTTTGAAGTCTCCATTATTTCCATCTCTAGAAAAGAAATCATCCCTGGCACCTGTTTTCTCCTCAAGGTCTTACCACAAACTCAATTGTGGGTGGAATAAACAAAGCTGTTGATTACAATGTGATGCAAAAGTGTCCTCTTTAAGTCCAGGAACTGATGGAGTAGACAGAAAAAGGAATAATTTATAAGTCACATGCTTATTACCTAGTTTGGAAGCTATAAAATGTATGAGGTAGCCCCAGTGAAAGAAAAAACAGTTTATGTCATAAATATCAGGCATAATTATGGAAATTTCTCAAGACAACGTGATGGAATAATACATGGAAAGTAAATAAGAATGGAAATAATCAAGTCTCCAGCTCTAGAGGTTTCTTGGTTAAAGCTTAATGGGAGGCAATATTAGAGAGAAACCAAAGAATTACCTAGGTAATTTTGGATAAAACAATGAGAATACTGGGATAATGCAATTCATCTCTTTTCAGTGTATCAACCTCAAATTAAACTTCTCTTCTCCACCCCTACCAGCTTCCATGATGTATGTGGCATCCATTTGAGTCATTCATATGAGAACTTTAGCATCGCTGAAACATTGTTTGTTTTCAAGACAGCTATTTACTTAATTATTATTATTATCATTATGTTTACCATTTTTATTTTACTGATGATTTGGAATGAAACTTGAGCATGCCATTAATTCACTTTATTACTGAGCAAATTTCTCATTGATAGATACCTAATTTTTTGATCAGCCAACCCCTTTTTTAAACAATTTGATAATCTGTCAAGATATACCACATCAGATTCATTTTTAACTCATAGTTTTCATGAAGTTTATTCCTTAACTAGCAGAACTGTTCATCTTAGTTATATTCCAATGACTAAAATACAAAGGTTTATTAATGTCTGATAATTCTGGCAGTTTTCAGATCTCTTTTTCTTTGGATTGCCATATCTCAATTCTTTATGCCTTGTCCTACATTTTTTCTTTGTGGGGCATGTATCTTTGTGCAAGAATGGAAAAAGAAAAATGACATTGGTTAAATCAGAGGCTACAGGGGAAAAAAATCACTAGTGCTCCACATGGGTATGAAAAACAAGGACATGTGTATTAGCTGCTCTTCTAAAAGCATATGTCTGAACTAATTAGTTCAAAAAACTCTCTGAGGAGAAATTAAGTAAACCTTCTCCTAGAATCCCATCACAAATTTGGACTTACTAAATTGTAGGGCAAATGAAGAGAGGTTCTGTACAGTTTCGTGGAAGATATATGTAGCTGTGTTTTTCCTTCAGCTTTCATGTTGAACTTTTCAGATCCTTCTATTTTCCTCTGAATACAGATCACTGTGCTCACCAGCATTCTGCATCTTTTCATTGGTACATATACCCTTTGATTATGTATTTATGGTCATGGCAAATGTGACCTCAAAATTGGAACATTAATTACAAAAGCTATATTCCCAATTTTGATTTAGCACATTTTAGACATGTGGCTATATTCAAAAAAAGTCCCAAACAAGAAGACACACCAAAGTTAAAATCATGTTTATGATACATAACCACTGGGACTCGGGTTCATATTCATTGTGTAAGATTATGAGGGTAGTTCTCTTTATATTCAGGGGGTTTTTTGAGAATATATTTTCTTTCCTTTTCAGTATCTCAGAACTCACATGCTTCTGGCAAGGTAATTGATCTTCTATGATTATTTCATTGTATTAACTGGGTACTGGATTAAATACACACTATTTATATGATATCTTTGTCTCTAAGCACATGAAGCCTTCCATCATAATCAAAGATTCTCTTCTATATAAGTCAAAACAGAAGCAAGAAAGAAGGACACTCAAATCAGGTAAATTTTGCAGTACAATTTTTCTGTAAAGTTACCTGGAAACCATTGGAAATGCTGGCAGTTTCCCTGTTCCTATTTTTTTTCTGAAATTTAATGAGAGGATTTATCCTCAAAAATATCAATCTCAATATTGGTATTCAGTTTTCTTAAATAATATATTCCTGCATATGAAAAAGATTTTTAAAATTTGAACTGTTTCTCAAATTTTACTATGTCTCAAGTTCCCTAATGTAATCCCTTCACCATTTATGGATTCTCAAAGGTAAATTATCAGAATGTAATCTTTTTAAAATAATATAGTTTTAAAATTCTTATGGCAGAGATAGGCAGTGGGGCAAAACTATATTCCCATCTTCCTAAAAGATTGAGGCACAAATTTACTTGAGCCAGGAGGGTAGGGTTCAGTTTGGGAAATATAAGAGAGACATCTCTTAAAATAATTTATTAATTTATTTCCAGTGCATGATCCAAACTATTGAGTAATTGCAATGAACATATGTTGTACTTTAGGTAACAGTTTTTTTGTTTGTTTGTTTTGTTTTGTTTTTGTTGCTGTTGTTGTTGTTTTCTTTTCTTTTCTTTTCCATGGAGGGAAGAATTGAAACCAGGCCTTTTAACATGCTGAGCAGTTGCTCTACAATTGAGACTGGCTGCCAGCCTTCTCTTTAAAGTTGATGATCCTGGAAAATCTTTTTATTTGAATAGTTCAGAGAAAATACACAAATTCTTTCACTTGAAATAGGAAGATGTTAAATTTTTTAAAAAATCACATGATAAAGACAAGCAACTTAAAGAGTTCAGGTGCTTAATTTTACATCTTCTTTGACACCTTTTGTTTTTGTTTTGGACAGAGTCTCATTTCACAGAGACCCAGAATTTTTCTTTTACTTATTAAATTTAACAACACTTTATTCTTTACTGGGTTAGTGAAAATATTGTATCCCAAATGCTCAGAAACATTCCCTTAGTTCAGGCCTGTGTCATCTTTATTTTGCACTGATGCCTTCTAACTATTGTTCTCCATTCATTCTTATGCACCTCAACTTCACCTGCCCACATTCTGGGTGATCTACTTCCAATGCAAATATGACATGAATCATTCTTTAGAACAAGAATATCAAAACATTTTACATTTACATATAAATCTTTCATATTTTGATATTTGCCTAATTATCTTTATCTCTTTCCTCCCTCTACCCTTTCCTCTGGTATTACTCTTCATGGATCCCTACATATTTAGACAAATACAGATCCCATGTAATAGTCATCTTCCTCAGTTGCTACTGCTTATCAAGCTCTTATCCTTTCCTATAAGCTAGCTGATAATATCAGTTTTTATATCCCTGCTCAGGCATTATTGCTAGACATTATCTCTGATACCATTTATCTACATTAGCACTTACCAGAAACTCAAACATAATTAATGAGTCAAATAAATAGACACCATTTTCACAGAGATGACTGGAAATATTATCTCCTCTTCACAAACAAAAGGGACTGTCAACTAAAGAAACAATTTACTGTTTAAGTTAAAAGGATATAGTGGAAAAAATTGAAAAAGTACTAATGTTGGCTTGAGTAAAGAAACAATTTTATTGCAATAACTAGAGTCCAAATCAACTGGAAGTGCATGAAGCACACTGTGTCTTTAGAGTAGCAAATAATATTGTCACAATTTCAGATAAAACATTTCAGATAAGGAACAGGGTGGTCACAGATAAAAGTGTAAAAATTATCTCTCACTTTGGAGGCCATTAATGATGAACAGGAGTTGCATAAAATTTATTTTTATGAGGTAAAAAATAGTGAACAATGTGAATTTCTGATTTTTATCTATTTTAAAATTTTGTTTCTAAGAATTGGTACATTTATACTGATTAGGTGTTTTGTGGATGAATCTTTGAGATATTTCTTTGCATTCAATCTGGTGACATTCACTTTCTCCACAAAGAAATATTTTGACAAGCAAAAGATTCTGTTTGGATAATCAGAAATATTTCCTAAAGAAGACAAGATTTATTGGACACAGTGGAGCACATCCACTAGACTTTAAGCTAAACACCAAAAGAGGTTTTATCCCATAGAACATAGTACACACACGTCTTAGGTACTCTACATTTGTATAGTGTATGAATACTGCATGTGAAAATATACAGTCATTCCTTATGAAAATTACTCACATATTATTTCTATTTTGTTTTCTTCCTGATACAAATTCTGTTATCCAATTAAAACATTTGAATGCAGGTTCTTCACATCACATAATAAAACATAAAAAACGTTACTGCTCACAGTGTTTACTACAAAAAAATGCAAAACTGGAAAATGAACTTTATGAACTTGAAAAGAAATATGCTGAAGTAAAAAGTGTAACATCAGAGCTTAAAAAGGAAAATGTAGCATGGAAACAAGAACTTCAAAATATGAGGTATGATACGCTACTTTCTTAGGTCCTTGTTAAGTTGCTGAAGTTGGCATTGATCTTCAGATACTCCTGCCCTAGTTACTGAGATTAAAGGCATGTACCACCACACCTGAATAGGAATCTATTTCTATAACAAATAGAAATTTCAGTGGTTTTGTATCTATATTTTTGCCTTTTGGAGTACAATCAATGTTTCAAGGAATGAAATTTAGAAAACCAGTTTTCTCTATTTGTTTAATTTACTCTGAATACATTTTCAATGTAGAATTATTTGATTAGAGATACTTTTTCAAAAGGTATTTGATAAATTTCTAAATTCCTCTCAAGAAAGTTTATGTTATTTACAATTCTCCCAAAGATAATAAAATGGGCATTTTTCACTGTCCAGAAACATTTTAAAACATTTATAGTTTTTCTTCTGCTATATAGGATCAAACCCAGGGGTTAGTTCAACTAAGTAGATATGCTAGTACTGAGCTAGACCCTCAGCTACAGTTTTAATATTAACATTCATTTAAAAATGAAATGGAAAGGGATTACTGATTATTTTATTCAAATTAACTCTGGTTTATAAATAAAACTTCTTCTTATTTCTTTGTTGAAAAGACCCATACTCTTAATTATTGGATTAAATATTAGGTTCAGTCTTGTTCCAAAGGGGATTTTGTCTTGTTACAAAATACATAATGATTAACAAGGTAAGTGCTACCATAAGAGAAACATAAAAGGTAGAATAAAGTTATATTTTTCTCAGGAAAAATCAATTTTAAGATAAACATATTTTACTGCAGATGTGCCTTTAAAAAGGAAGAGAATACAAGAAATGATTCTCTGTTTCTTGAACCAAATAGGGACAAGTTAAATGAAATAGCAAATGAAGATAATAAAGGAATTAAAAAGAAACCTGAAACATCTGTCAGAAAATTTGATACAGAATTAAATATTACAGCAGATGAATTTAATCAGGTAAATGAGCTTTCAGTACCTTTTTAAATTTTTTTATTTTATTTCAGCAAACTTATTTATACTATCCCTTTAACATACTATATGCAGCCATGTTTCACTTCATGAAGGGTATATGATCTGAGAAGTATGCTGTTTGGCAATTGTACCAACATACAATCATCATAGGTGTGTACTTGCACAAACTTCAGACATCTACCACAATACCAGAATAAATAATCTTCCAGGATCTCCATTGTACATGCAGTGTATATTCTCACAAAGCATTGGTATGTGGAGTGTGACACTATTATTTTGGTTTAAAACAAAATTTTATCTCACCCTAAAATTAATTGATGACATTTGTTGCAAGATTAATTATTGCAAATCTTGGCATCTAGTAGATGCTCCATATTTGTTTCCTGAGTGAAAGAGTTGACTTTAATCACTGATATGATTATAAATTTTACTGTAGATGTGCCTTAAAAAAGGAGGGGCTTTGGCTATAGCTCAGTGTCAGAGAGCTTGCCTATCATGTATGAGGCACTGGGTTGGATCCTCAGCTCCACAAAAAAATAAACAGAAAAAATAAAGGCATTATTTCCATCTACAACTACAAATAAAATAAAGTATTTTTTTAAAAAAGAGGAGAATAGAAGAAATGCTTCTCTGTTTTTTGAGCAAAATAAGGACAAATTAAAAGAAAAAGTAAATGAAGATAATAAAAATATTTTTAAAATGTTAAGGTATAGAGTAAATAGATTTGAAACTAGTTAAATATTTTGTTTAAAATTTTTTTTCACAATTGCATTTATCCTGTATTTAATAAATATCTTTACTCTTTGAGGATTTTTTTCTGTCATTTATGCAGTTTAAATTTGAGTAATTCATGTGTGATAAAGATTTGTGTGCTTTAATAATCTACTTCTTTTGAATGGTTATTTAATTTGAAGATACTACTATTAATTAAGCTTTTAGACTTTCTACTCCCTACTGAGATAAGGCCAAAACCTACTGAAAAATCTCTAGGTCTCATCAGAACAAAATGACACCTATAGGTAACTTTCTTGAGAACAGTTTGCCTGAATTTACAAGATGGGATTCCAGCAAAACATTTTGCAAACAAAAACTGATAAATAGGGCCAAAACTGAAATCAACTGTTTTCCTCTATTGTTTTCAAGTGTGTGTGTGTGTGTGTGTGTGTGAATAGTAACTGTATCCATCATGAAAAACATAAATGTATAACCATAAAGTGCATATTTAGGGAGTGAGGGTGTGGGCATTTTTGTCCCACTGGATTAAGTAATGTTATTATTCAATTCCATTTGTCTGCAGCACTCCAGTGGTGGTTTTCACAGTGTCCTGTTTCAGAGAAAAGGCTTTTAATATTTTTCACAGGATTTGATGATTTTTCTAGGATCTCAAAACCCTTGATTTCTAACAATAGATCTTCTGGTTTGGGGAAGTGATTTCACTCCCTTGGTGTGTTAATGTGAAGATGTGCTTTTAAGTAAGAAGGAAAAATGTGGCTAGCAGAGATCCTGGTTTTTGGATATCATTTCCTCACTTTTGACAAGAGAAATACTTTGCATCAAGTAATCTCCTATTTTATATAGAACACTTTGGTAAATAATGATATACCATGATATGTATGCAGTAATAACTTACTGGTATTTGTTCCTAATAAATTGGGTCAGTTTATTTTCTCTATTTCACACTTATTATGTTTCAAACTTCACTAAGAACAAACAAATAATACTGAGCAGCAACTTAGAAATTGTTTTTGCCATTAGTATCTTGCAACACAAGCCTTCTCTGATGTTTATACATTCACAGGACAGAATGGTGGATGAGCACTAGAAGCAGAGGTGGAAGGCTTGAATAAAATCTCACAACTTGGGGCTGGGGTTGTGGCTCAGAAATAGAGTGCTCACCTAGCACAGGTGAGGCCCTAGGTTTGCTCCTCAACACCACTTAAGTAAACAAATAGATAGATAAAGGTATTAAAAAATCTCACTACTTGCCTATATTTTTGGCCCCACCCTGCTTTCCAGAATTGTGTTTATTGATAAACATACATATGCTAAGTGCTGACCCTAGTTCTATCATTTATTAATGTGTGCAATTCTCATATCATAACCGGTATCCTGATCTTCCTTCCAAACAGGTTTCACAGTTGGAAATGACAACCAGTGACCTAGAAAATGAGATTGGTCAGAAAAGAGATACTCTCAGAGTAAGGACTTTGGTTTCAGAACAAGAAAAAAGACATACATATCAAAATGAACAAAGGGAAATGGAAGAACACATCAGAAAGCAGGAATCTATTAGAGAGAGGAGAATATGTAGACTCCAAAGTGAAATTACACAGCTTCAACAGGAATTTCATGACCTTAAAAACAAACTTGAAAATCAAATCGATACATTCACTCATAACCAAAACCAATGTTTTGACATTATAAGACAATTGCAAGCTCAGAATGAAAGATACCGTCTCTTTCTGGAAAGCAGAAATATGAGGTTAATCCATGAAAATAGTCTTTTACAAAAAGATAGCAGTATGAAAAGAGAAAGCAGAAAATGAAGGTAAGTATCAAGCAAGTAAACTATTTGAATTGTCTTTGAAGGGGCACTCAAAGTGATATTTGTGTATGGCTAAATGTTGCATCTAGGTGAATGTAAAAATTCAAATATTATAAACACATTTTCTGTCTCAACACAGAAACATAACTGATTTCCAGCAAATACAACTTAGACATCATTGAAGTGATAAGTCTTCCAATTTCCCTGATCTGATTGTTATACAGTGTGTGCCCATTTTGAAATAACACTCTACCTCATAAATGTGTACAGTTATAAGCCAATTAAGCACAGAAGACTTAGAGTTACATAGAACTCATTTTAAAATTTAAGAAAAAAAATATTGAAACCCTTGGACCTAATAGATACTTCATTTTGAGTAAAGAATTGTAAAGTTTTAAGACGTTGAATTATAGATTTTCAGTAGCTATATATGCTGACATTCATAATATATTCTCAATAATGTTGAAACAATATCTATATTTGTTGCTGATAATTGAAACCCCAAAGCTTTGCACATGGTAATCACATGATCTACCACTGGAATACACACCATCCCCATGTCTTCCTGTTGCCAAACTTTAAGACCATGAGGAAATAGATAAATGGAAATGCTTATACCTAATTGCAATTAACATTTCATTACAGATTTCCCAGCCGAACTGAAATGCAGATGCTGTATTTCATGATATATTTCTTTCACTAAATGTTATATATTTCTAGTTGGTAGATTTAATTGTATTCATGTCAAATTGATTTAAATCAAAAAAATAGCTGTCTAGATTTCATTTATCTTCATGACCTCTCAACTATTTAAAAGCATCTACTTCTCATGATCATAAATTGAGACAAATGTGATCAATTGCAGCAAAACTGTGGTTGATTAAATCTGTAATTTATTGATTATGTCCATGATATCTTGCTCAGACTATTCTTCAAATCTCAATTGCTATCATGAAAAGGATATAGACTCATCCAGTACAAAGATAGTTGTACTCATCTATGATTCATTAATTTGAAACTGAATCTCCATTTCTAGACTATGAGGATGGCAGGATTCAGGTACAGCAGGAAAAGTATGAGGACAAATGAGATTTTTAAAAAAAATGCATGTCATTTGGGAAAAAATTGAAATACTAAATAATTGTCTTGTGCAATCCTCAAAGAATCAAAAAGAGCCTACAGAAGGGTAATATAATACTAACAGACTCCTGATGGAGAAACAGCAAAGCCAAATGCCATATTGTCCTCTGTGAACAAGTTCTGTCCCAATGCACTCTTGGATTACATATAATTGGTTACCTCACAAAAGTTGTATTCAAAGAGAAAATGTAGTGAATCCTACCAAAACTGTGTAGCTTCATGTCAAAGCATTGAGAACTAACTGCTGAGATTAGTTACATTATATTTCTCTTTGGGGTTTCAGATTTGATTTCTGGTAGTCTTGTTCTGGCTTTGGTGAAATACTGAGTTGTTAAGTTATGAATGTTAAGTAAAGGTCATGTTAACCTATATTTAGAAAGACAAAAATATCGTACATTTTTTTTTAAAAGAAATCACTGGAGGTCTCATTTTCAAGAGACAGTTACTTCTTAACTGTATTCTTAACTGTATTTAACTGAACTTATAATTTGAGCTTTCCTTAAATTAATTTTTAAAATAAATATCACTGTCCGTAATTGAAAAGAGATATTGAAGTGATTGATATCGCTTCTGTGTGATTTTAGATTGTCTGTGCTTTTAACACTTTCGTTTATCCAGCACCACCCCCAAGGTTCCCACTCTGTCAAAAGTGTATGATTGATACTCAAAAATTTCACCAATATGGATGTTTATAATGTAAAGGATTATTAAACAATTTTATAAATTAAATAAGCTTGTAACACTAAAATTATTTGATTTCTGCTTTTGCTAAATTGTTTTGACAGTTCTTTAATAAAAATATATCCTTAGTTGTTTTTACTTACATAATCTTTATCATAGTTCTTGTAAAATATGTTTATTGCTTCACTGTTACTGCTATTATAATATATTTAAACTAGTTGAATTAAGCATGTATTCAAATTTGTAAAACAAGGAGCCCACAGTTTCATACAGAACTGTCACTGTGAATGAGTATCAGGGCTTCAGATTTTCCATCCCTCTTTATGAATACAATAATCATGTACTAAGGTACTATGGCAAGCACTGGGATGACAAGATGGAGATGATAAAGGCCATTCCTCAACAATCATATACTGGTAATTTTCATACAGATTAATGGGCAGTATAGCAGTGCTATACTAAGACCATTTTTATGTATCTATGAATTTTGATGACTGGAAGCAGTCTAAGGTGGCAGTGATATCAAGAGTCTTTGAAAAGCAACCACTATAAAACAGAGTCAATTATACTCTTTCTATCATCTTATGTACATTGAGCACTGATCCCATCTTCCTGGAGTTATAACAGGAACCTTGCAGTCCCACCATGTGATTTCCTAATACTTTTTGCAAGATTTACATATTATTCCAAAAATGATGAGCTCTATTTGAGAGTTAATAAGAAAAATAGTGTTCAACTATGTTGGACCCATTTTAAGATATTTCTATAATGTTTGACCATTTTTTATTAGGGGGACTCTTACAATAGTGAGATATCTGTTAGAAAATCATGAAAATAAAAGATAGCATCTTGTTTTCATTATGTGTCATTGTTGTTAAAATATCAATTTCATCGCACCTTTGTTTTAGAGCTTCAATGGTATTTTGATGATCTTAAGTCCTATGTTAAAAAGAGGCCTCACTTTTTCTTTGGATTTGAGTTTAAAAAAAATATATAGGAATCAAAAAGAGCCTAGAGGAGGGTAATACTAGCAGACTCCTGATAAAGAAACAGCACATCTAAGTTATATAAAACACCATTGCAGTAGAATACTTGAAAAGGGAACATTGAATACATAAATTAAAGGTCAAAGGTAGGTGTTATGTATTTTTTAACTGTTTCTTAGATTATATGCATACTTTTCTGGAAAAATTGAGAGAAATGGTCCTGAATTGCTTCAGAGTCATAAAATTGGATGACTGTGTACAAAAAGAGAATAAAAGTTAAATATTTCTGTGATTTATTAAGCACAATGCAAATACAAGATATCCTCATTAGTTCTTACCAGAAAAAATCATGTAATTGTTTTACAAGGCAATCGTGAATGAGTGTGTAAATGCAGATACAATGCAAAGGAAGATTTTGGGGGGATCAACTATTTTTTGTAGAGAAAGTTATGTTTGTTATTTACTTCCTTATAGGTAGTTTATTTGAAATTCAATCTAGTAGTCTGTAGATTTCCCTGTGGAGGATTAATTTTTCAAATCATGCTAACCTTAATGAGAGGCTTTACAAAGCACTCCTCTATCAAGATAGAGGCACCTCTCCTTAATCACTGCAGAATGTCTCCAAAGGTGAAGGCAGGAGAGGTAAATGGAACTGGGGAGGAAGAGAGATCAAATTATTTTATGTGCATCTTTTCAATAGTTCATAATTAATACTGCTTCTGTGTATAGTTATACTACAGTAAGAGTTTTAATATACTTTCACTTAACAAAGAAGGATGGCCTCTCAGTGTCACCAGTTGCTGTGTGCGCAGAGGACCGAGCTAGCTCTCAATAAACGCCTCTTTGCTGCTTACATAGATTTTAAAAAAAGGAGAAGAAGAAGGATAAGACTAGAAATCTATCAAAAGAATTTATCTTCACATGTAAAAAAAATGTAAAGTCATTAAACATCACGTCATTATTATCACAAAATAGTACTTATTATGTTCATTAATCTACTTTAGACCCTGTTTGTAGAATTAGCAAGATAATTGCTTTTATACAAAAAAAAATGCACAAACAAACAAAAAAAAACTAGATGGCCATACTTAACAAATAGCTGGAAGTAGTTCTACATATTTTTCATCAAGTACATAAACTATTGAACTACATGTTTCAAAAATGTTGGTTCTACCTTATGAGTAAAAATCAGTTAAAATGAAAGAGCTGTATATTGTTTCCAAATCTGAGAAATGAACAAATCAAAGATCTTAGGTTTGAAACTGCCTCTTTTTACACTTTTGCCCTACTTTGAAACTGTCAGCCTATACTCTGAAAGTATTCTTGACAAAAGAAAGGCATCACCCATTTTCTGTGGTTTATGGCAGTTAGCCCAGACTCATCTAACAACACTTAGTCAAGCATTTAAAACACCCTGCTCATGACTTTGTCATTGGTTTATGTGTTGCTCTCAAGAAAAGTTTGAAATTTCTTAGCAAGAAGTGAAAATACCCAAACCATAGTGTTTCTTGTCAAGTTGTTCAACCTTATCTCTTCCCACTCACACTACTGTCACTTTTCTCTAGCTTCTAGTCACACAGGACCACTTACAGTTCCACAAATGTTTTTCCTCATATCTCATTGTCTCTATGCATCCCTTCCCTCTCTGTCATACTTTCCCTGTATCCTTCAGGTGTCAACTCATGTAGCACCTTCATGGAAGGACTTCCAACACTGCCACAAAATTGGAACAGAAATCCCTTCTCTGTGTTCAGTAGTACCTTGTTCTACACATGTCACAGTGCCTGTTAATCTGTATGGAAATTATGATTGTTGAGGAGTGGCCTTTATCATCTCCATCTTGTCATACCAGTGCTTGCCATAGTACCTTAGTACATGATTGTTATATTCATGAAGAGGGATGGAAAATCTGAAACCCTGACACTCATTCACGATGACAATTCTGTACAAAACTATGGGCAAACTGTTTCATAGTAACTTTGTATTGTGGTCGTACACATGTAAAAAAAAATTCATTTTATGAACAATGATAATTTTTCAACTTTTTGTTTATTGATTGATGCTTATGAAACCTTTGAGGTAAAAAAAATATAATCCTTTTTCTCTCCATTTGCTACAGAATTTGAATCTAGACTAATTGGAGTTTCTTCCATAAGATTTACTAAAAAGCCAAGACAAGATCTATTTGTGGAAGCATCAAAAGGATACCACAGAGGTTTTTAAAGAAAAATAGATATGAAAGATAGTATTGCATATTTCAGACTATCGCCATAATATTTTAAAAACTTTATTGAAGAAAATGTTTGTATTATTCATGTGTAAAATTCTCAAAATATGAGACTATTACTTTGCATCTATAACAAAATTTGAAGTGCAAGTGCATAACTCAATAAAGTTCTATGTATCCAAACTATGTAAATTGTTGCATTTAAACATTACCCAATGTGGTCAATATTACTACCTTGGTGGAACTAAACATCACATGTTTTAATGTATTACAATTATAGTGCCATCAAACATATATTCCTTACAAACAAGAAAAAAAACTTATTTTTAAATTTTTATGATTTTAGTATAAAGCACTAACTTATAATTCTTTCATGATGAGAAATACATTTGCTTAAGATATTTTGCCTTTTTTCTTTGTTTATTCTTTCTTGAAAAATAATAGTCTAGCTACAACTTCTAGCATAAAGTACATTTTTCCCACAGAATAATTTTAGAGTAAATGGCTGTCATATGCTATCATTCATGACTTCTGTAATGTTACCTAAAAGTCAGAACATGCTGCATAACTGCAATGCAACCTTCATAATGAAAGAGCCAATACTAATACATTCTATCAAATGCCTTCTACAACTGAAATCTATTTTTTTTTCATGTTTTGCAACTTGCCTCACATTGTCCTTTATAACAAAATAATTCCATTCAGATCCATGAAATGAACTTAATATTGTATTTTGTAGACACCTTTAGATTCAAACATTCCTTAATCTTTCCTTGACTTTCATGGCCTTGAATCTTTTCAAGAATAATGATTGTAGAATGTGCCTAAGATGGATTTTTCTTTATGATTGAGACAAGGTTACATATTTTGGGCAAGAGTATCACAAAAGTGATTCTGTGATTTTTCTCTTTAAATCCCAAGATGAAGACCTATATTTTAATTTCTCCATCATTGCTGATAATAACATTAATTACTAAAGGTCTTATCTCCTAGATATATCTTATGTTATATCATATTTTCCCTTTAATTATTTAGTTTTGTGGGGAAGTACTTGGAGACTATATAAATATTATTCATCCAACTTTCAATTTATTCATTTACTTGTACCTATACAGATCCATGGTTTATTTAATTGAGTATACTGTTGTTTGTTAATATTATTATAAAAATATTTCTTTCAGAAATATTGTGTTTTCACAATTTTAGATTAATAAAAGTTTAATATATTGAAGTACAGAGAAATGTTAACCTAAATGTTAACATTTTATCAATTTTAATAAAAATGTTTATCTTCTCTTTCTCTTCTTTATCTCTTCTCTTTCTCTTCTTTATCTCTTTTCTTTCTCTCATTCTAGTAAATATAATTATAGGTATATAACAAAGTTTCTTTTTTCTGAACCATTTGTAAGTTGTATGCATGTTGTTTTTCATTACTGAATATTTGTATTCCTAAAAGCAAGAAGTTATCTTACATGCAGTATGAAGACCAAAATTTTAAAAATGGTTCATCATAAATATCTAATCTACAAATATGATTCAGAATTTGCCAATTATTTCAGCAATGTTATTTATAACCAAAATAAAATTCAGTCTTGGAAAATTTCAGAATCCTTTATTCGTCCTCTTTCTTTCACCTCCTTTAATCTGCGATATTTCTTTAGTCTTTCTGGGCTCTTTGTGGCACATATGTTTTTGAATGGTGTACTTCAGTACCTCTGTAGATTTTCCTTTAGTTTAGAATCACATGATATTTCCTCATGAGTGGAATCAGATTATGCCATTAGAGAAGGAATATCATACATGCAATGCTGTGTTCTTTCAATGAAGCATGTTCTAGAGGCACTTGCGGACATGTCCAAGAACTGTGAACAGCCTCTAGAAATATTTGACATCCAATAGGATGAATAAATATTATACATACATGAATATGGTCTTGAATGTATGTGTTGTAAATTAAAGATTCTTATTTTTTCACATTTTGAAATGTGTAGGGCTACCCAAATAAAGCAGAATACCAGAACTGAAAGAGTCTGAGAAGTTCCCTGTCTGTAGATTAAAGTTCACACCTGAAAAGAAGTTCAAGTGCCTTGGAAAAAAGTCATTCGTATCTTTTGACATAAAATTTTATGAAAAATAAGTTTTAAAGGTACTTTTCCCCCTCTAGCTTAAGCTTATCATGAATAACATTTTCCTTCCAAAAAATTCTGCCTTCTAATTTTCAAAATGTTGTCATCATAGTCTAACATCATAGGTCTCAATCATTTCTGAAGATGTTTCTGCTTTCTTCCATTTAAAAGTATTTTCTTCAGTAAGTTTCTGAACTTTCCTATTGCATTTGCTGGAGTGGGGATTGAAGAAATTACCTTTTTTTTTTGGCCAGTAATGGGATTCAGTGAGGCACACTTCTTAGAACCCAGAAGGACTCCAGGGCCAAAAAGTGCTGGATATTTGAAATATGTTCTGTTGCAGGTCAGTGAAATTGGCCTTTGTAGACTTTCCTCTCAGGCTGATGGCAAGAGGAAATTCACTGGCCACACATCATTTAAAATTTCCCAGGGCTGGGGTTGGAGATCACTGTTAGAGTGCTTGCCTAGCATGAGTGAAGCACTGTGTTTAGTCCTTAGCACCACATAAAAATAAATAAAGGTAAAATAGTTCCCTTATTCCTTTTAGTTTATTTAAACTTTTCATATATATAAATTAGTTTGAAATGGTAAGAACTTAGGCTACCCATTAATTGCTGTGCTGTAGATATGATGTGTATTTAAAATTATGCAAGGATGATTAAACCAAAGCATGAGGGAGTCTTGGCTAACCCTGAAGTTAGCTAACCATGAAGTTGCTTCTTAGTTCTTAAAAGCAGCAAAAGGACATAAGGAACACAGGATATCCTCAGGAGTCTCCTTTCTGATTTGTCATTTGGCAGAATGATATGTGAAAAATGGGTTGCTCCTACTAAGCTCTTCTTTGCTTTTTAGTTTTTATTTTGAATTCTTAATGGACTTGGTCATACTTAGGCAGGAGAACATGACTGTCAGCCAAATATTCTTCTCTAGTAGAGATTTATTATAAACAGTATAAATGCAACTTGGTTTCACAATTTTCGTCTCCCCCGAAGGAAAAAAAAATCTCCATTTTATTAACTTGGTTAAGTTTATGAGAGGAGAAAGTGCATAGACAGAAAAAGAGGAGGAGAGAAAAAAGAGTTATGACATCCCATAGCCTTGCCCATCAGTGACTTCATTTCAGTAAACACCTTGGTATTACCCAAAGCTCAGACTTTATTCCTGATGACAATTCATATCTAAGGACAAGTTCTGGAGAAAAGTGGGGGAGGCGTATTGCTTTGCTAGCAAAGTAGAAACACAGGACTATTATCTCAGGATGTAATTCTGTCAAATTGTACAGAAGACTTTTAAAGAGGTGGTTTACTCTAAGATATCATCTCACTCCAGTCAGAATGGCAGCTATTATGAAAAATATTTTTAAAAAAGTGTTGGCGAGGATGTGGGGGAAAAGATACACTCATAAATTGCGGGTGGAATTGCAAATTGGTGCAGCCAATATGGAAAGCAGTTTGGAGGTTCCTTGGAAATCTGGGAATACAAACACCATTTGACCCAGCTCTCCCTCTCCTCAATTGATACCCAAAAGACATCACACTACAAGGACACAGCCACATCAATGTTTACAGCAGCACAATTCACATTAGCTAAACTGTGGAGCCAACCCAGATGCCCTTCAGTGGATGAATGGATAAAAAAAATGTGGCATATATACACAATGGAATTTTACTCAGCAATAAAAGAGAATAAAATCATAGCATTTGCAGGTAAATGGCTGGCAGTTGGAGAAGATAATGGTAAGTGAAGTTAGCCAATCCCAAATAAAAATATTTTCTCTGATATAAGGAGGCTGACTCATAATGGGGTAGGGAGGGGGAACATGGGACAAATAGATGAATTCTAGATAGGGAAGAGGGAAGGGAGAGTAAAGGAGGAGCGGGGGATTAGCAAGGATGGTGGAATGTGATGGACATCATTATCCAAAGTACATGTATGAAGATACAAATTCGGTATCAACCTACTTTATAATACAAACAGAGATATGAAAAATTGTGGTATATATGTGGAATAAGAATTGTAATGCAAAAAAAAACAAGTACATGTATAAAGACATGAATTGGCATAAACATACTTTATACAAAGATATGTAAAATTGTGCTCAATATGTGTAATAAGAATTGTAATACATTCTGCTGTCATGTATTTTTAAAAAATAAAATTAATTTAAAAAATAAAGAGGTGGTTTAAAGGCTACATTCCAGCTGTGCCTTTTGAGTGGTCATAATTCACTTGTAGACTTGAGAAGATAGCTGGTTCTTAGATCTTCTAGAACCACCCCTGTAGTCTGAATTATTTCATTCCTGTGGTGTGTGTTTGCTTCAGGATAGATAATTTGGCCTAAGGTGGGAAGAAAGATAATCTTACTTCTCCCAAGTTTAGGAAGTGAGAGAAAAAGAAAGAGGAAAAAAGTTGAACCCAGGAAAGTTGAAGTTTATGGATGTAGACTTTGCTCCGTATGCTCTTCCATTTTACTCTCTGGCTTCTTGTTTCTGCCTCACCATTATTAATCATTTGACTTCAGATCTGACCAAATCATTTTTGCCCTGTAGTGGTGAAATGATGCACTAACATAGTAGAAATGTGTTAAGCTCATTGAGGTTCATGTTCAGAACTTGGGAGAAACATTTTCTTCATAGGATAATGTTGTGACCCGTGCCCACATAATTATGTAAAATGTCTCAGCACAGTATACTGTTGAAGAGGCAGAAAGTATCCCATTCTGGGTGGCATCATTCAGCAGATTCACATAGAGGCAGGAGAATCTTTTTAGGAAATGTTTTTTCCTGTGCTCATATTGAAGTTTCAAAGCAGAAGTAGCTACCCTTAGCTTTTACATTTTTTTCCCCTTAGCACAAGTGTGCATGGTAGCACTACTTATAACAGTCATAATCTGGAAATAAGTTAGCTGTCCATCAACAGAAAAATGGATAAAGACCTTGTGATATATTCAGATACACTATAGCACTGAAAAGAATTTACAGCTACATTTGACAAGGAAATGAAACCAGACTAAAAGAATACAGACAGTATGACTCCATTCATAAAAGCTGCCAAGTCATA